CAGGAAAGATTTCCTAACTCAGAATAAATTCCTTCCCATGACCTATGAGCTTCTTCCTCTGACCTCACCCTGTGCTACTCTCTCACTCGTTTACTAGACTCTGTCACACTGGCCTCCTTTCCAAATCCTTCATTCAGCAACTATGCTCCCAACTTGGGACTGTTGCATTTGCGGGACTCCCTGTTCCCTGTGGTCTTTCTGTAGATGACAGAGTGGCCTCCCTCTGTACTTTATTCATCTCTGTTCAGATGTCTGATCATTAGAGAGGCCATCCCAAAAATACCACCCCTTCCTCAAACCATCACTCTATTATCCCCTTACCCTGCTTTTATTTTCCTTCTATCACTTAGCCCAGATACCCCATCACATGCTTATTTTCCACTTGGCAGGCATATCTCCCTCCTAGAATATAAAATTCATGTGGAAAGGGACTGTCGTGTTCACATGGGAACAGTGCGTGGCATAAAGCAGATCCTCAGCAAATATTTATTGACTGAAGAGGTCTATTAGAACAACTACATGCTTCCACAGGTCATTCAGAAATTGTATTTAGACCTCAACTCATAACACTTGACTTTCTTGTTCTTTCATCAGGACCATTTTATCCTGCCTGCCTGATAACAAAATTGTATTTCATTTTAGTTATACTATTATTTAAGTTCAAATTGCCTGGTCAAGCACTATGACTTTTCCTGACTCACATACAAAAATAAAAAATGCTTACTCCCATATGCATTTTACATTATAATTTGCATTAAATATACTACTCTTTATTTCATTTTTATTTATGATATATAAATTAAATTAACTTTACAAATAAATGCACTTGAGTTATTCCACTATTAGAACATATTGCCAAGATTGTGTCACGATGCATGACAGCTTAAGCTGAAAATAACAGAAAAACAAACATATTAAAATAAGACCATGCCCTGTAATACTGGATTAACACGCAAGAACACTGTCTCATTGTAGCTAGCAATTATAATCTTTTACTTTCTACTTCACTGTGTACAGTATATCTTTTATTCAATTCATCTGATTTGTTGATGGATTGGACAAAGTCCAATTAAATATGACATGCTATAAAACAGTGAGAAGGAAAATATCATTTTATGCAATCAGCCTAAAAGGTATGAAGGCAATGGCTTTACTTTACTCATTTATCCACCGCTACTATGATCTCAAGTAAAAACAATTCAAATTAAATTGTGTTAGCTTAGAGTCTATAAAACACTATTAATTGTATATGATTTTTAGCCCACAGATTTATTCGTAACATAGGTTATTCTTTAACGTAATCACAGCTTTTATCCTAACTGAGAAAGATTAAGTATCATACAAATGTGAGACATGGTCATTTACACATTCTCTCAGCCCTCTTTCATTTCTACCTACAGTTCTAGTCAGGGATCTAAGTAAAATATATACGTGTGCATATTTTGTGATTTTATGTGGAATTTTCTTAGAAATTGTTATTCATACAAAAATTTAAAGAATATTTTTGACTTTTAAATCTATTATTTAAAATATTAACAAATTTATTGAATCATTTCCCTGAGTATTCATATTTAGAAAACATTAGCCGCCCAACTGTTATAATTTACTTAGCCTCAGATTTTTGATAGCATTAATCCTTCTACATCATTCTGAATGTTATACATGGTCTTTGTTCTGTTTTACCTGTTAATGTCTTGTGCTTTATATTCCCTGACTCTGTATTTCCTAGCTTTCACAACCCTCAAATTTTGTTCTTTTGTGGAAGATGAACAATAGAACAAAACCATGAGTTCTTTAAAATAGGTTTTAAAGAACTATTTTTTAAAAATGTGCAGTTATACAATACTGTGGCAATATAAGAATAACAGATTAGATGAATATGAAGAAAAGAGAAGTGTGCTTATGTGACAAGACATTCAAGATATACGGTTAAGTGAAAAAAAAAAGCAAGTCTCAGAACAAAATGTATAGTATGTTTCCATCTCTATATAAAAATAACATACATGTATGTATCTTTGTAATATATCAATACATATTAATATATCTATATCTATCTACCTACCTATAATTTCTGTAATCATGCACACACAGAAAAATTGCTATCCACCATTATCCCTGGAGAAAAAGAGTAGAGGTTGGGCAAGAAAGACTTTCACTTTCACTTTATTCTTGTCTGTTCTGTAATGTTTAAACTTTTAAACCAAACTTTTGTGAGAAAAAAGTTTATTAAAAACCTTAAAATATCTATAACTTTTGAGCAAAAATTAGGCTTACTGAAATGTATATTAAGAAAATGTTTATAAATTTGAAATAATTTTAGCAGTAAGACACTCACTAAAGTACTAATAGCAAAAGTGAAAGTAAGAAAAAATATAAATGTCCAACTATAAGGAAACGGCTAAATTATGAGAAAACCACAGAATGGCATAACATACAGAGGTTAAATATGTTCATAAAGATTAAAGATGTGAAAAATGATCATGGTCTAATGTTAAGATATAAAGCAGGATATATTTTACAAAATATGAAAACAAAACTTTGTAAATCCTAAGTTTACAAATAAAAATCCTGAGCAAATGTTAAAAGGGATCTTTTTGTGTGTAATAAACCTATGAGTAATTTTTCAAAATTACTTTTCTCTACTGTCTAAATGTCATTCCATGTGTATTGTTAACAAAAAAATTAATAATAGCACATATATTACAGCTTAACAAAGATAAACAGTCCCAAACCTTGCCATTTTGTGTTGAATCCACCTTAATAAAAAGATAACAAAATGTTTTAAAATTATAGATGTTATCAAGTTAAGAACATGGTTTCCCAATATATTTGAGAAAAGTAATAAGCCAATACACTTTTCATTTCACAAACTCAGAGAAAAACAAAAACTACTGTTTTCCAGGTGACATGATCATAGTGCCACATTTCTGATATTCTACAGCCTAATTATTATACTCATTATGTATATTCTACTTTACAAAAAGATGTCTACTTGCACAAATTCAGGTAAACAATCTAGTTTTCTGAAGTGAAAATTTAAAAAATAAAAATAATGTTAGTGTTTCTATTGACCTTTAACACCTCTATCTTTTTGATTAGTAGCTTGTCATCTTGTACACATTTTCTAGATGACACCTTATATGTATGAAAATTTCATAATGAAATTCAAGATCAAAGATTTGAATTATTTTATTAAAGAGTTTCAACTATATTGGAGCTAGAATCTTGATTTATAGATGACAAAAATTCTTTTGAAGATGTTCAGGGTCTTTGCATTATAATTCTAGGGCAGGGGTTGATGAATTTTATCTCTAAAGTCCCAGTTTGTAAATTCTTAGGATTTTGTGGGTTATTTAACAATACAAAAATCATTCTTGGCTTTCAGGCTATTTAGAAAACACGACAAAACAGTAATGGTTCAGATTTGGCCCCAGGGCCAAAGTTTGTCAAACTCTGTTCTAAAGTTATTTTTGGTAACTTATTCAAAGGTCATATGCATTGCTATACTCCACTATCTAAAACACCTTTACCCTCCTGTATCCCACCTTCAAAATTGTATTTAACCTTTACAGTCTCTCAAATATGTTCTTCATGAAAACTTTCAAGGTGTCCTTTAACAAACAGGACTTCTCTTCCTTTGAAGCCACATAGCATTTTGTAACTCCTCTATTTTACATAGGATTACTAACCTTTGTCCAGTGCTGTGCCAAGGCTTCCACTCAGCATGTTATGGGAGAAACCCTCTCTTACACATTTTTTATTGACTATGGTGCCTTGTGCATAGTAGAAGATTAATAATATTGGTTGAAGCGATAAATAACTATTCGACATCTTCAATTCCTAGAAGGAGACCTCAGTGGTTTAATAGTAGTTTTTAAGGGCCTAAAAGTAACATAGACACCAAAAATATTCATATGTTTTTAAAATGCAGCTGAATTTTAGTAATATTAAAATGTGAAAACAAATTTTGTCTTAAAATCAAGAAGAACGGCTCCTGCATTGACAGGGGAGACAGATGAGAGAGAGCAACAAAAGGACTGTGAACCAGTTCCAGGGCACAAGAGGTTATGTGAGAGGCAAGCGTCAGGCAGGTACAATCCAGCTGTCCACAGGATACCCCTCAGCCCTTTCACTCTGCTCCTCAAGGTGAGAAAAGCATCAGACCTTCCATGTGTCTAAGGTCTGGGGCCTGATTATCCAGACACTCCTTACTCTTTCCATGTCAAATGAACAATCTTACACACTCAGGATCCCCAGGGATCAGAAAGTAACTCAGTTTCAGAGAAGAACTCAAAGGCAAGTTTGTAATCTTGTAAGAAAATTTTACACTATTATCTAAATCTAAATTCATATTACACAGACACGATAGGCAATATTTAGAAGTTCTGGAACAACTCTGCCTGAATTCATATCCTAGGAATGCCTCTTTTAGCTGTGTAATCCTTGGTAACTTATTTAACCTTTTGAAGCCACATTTTATTTTTCATCTGTAAAAAAGAGATGATGATAATAGAATGTAACTTAGAGGGCGATTGGGTTTTTGTGAGGATGTGATGAGTTAATATCTAAGTGTTTAGAACCTTGCCTGGAACATAGTAAGCACCTATTAACATTAGCTATATATCTCAAAATCCATATATAGCTAAAAGCAAATAGTATTTCTACTAATAAATAACCTCTAAAAGCCACAGACATCCTTGCCTTCAAACACATATTGTGCTTTATTTCATTCTTGAAGTGAAATTCCCATAGGAGGGAATTTACTGAAAATAAGAAACAGGCTGGATAGAAATTATCAAGTAATTTTTTAAGTGCAAGAGAAGGCAAACAGCAAACTGAAAATACATGTATGATTATGTGACAAAGAGAGACACAGGAAAAATCTTGAATCCCTGAAGCATTATCACAATAGTATTTCCCAAGCTTTGGCGTAATGCAATGACCAAAATCAGCTTCCATGCATGAGCACGATGGCAGCTCAACTTAACGGCCATACTTACCACCTTCCTCCACCCCAGGGAGACCTGCCTTTTTGTCCTTCACCTGAGCAGTGCTTTCTTCCCAAAGCTTACTCTTATCCTTTTCCTTTTCTTCTGCAGAAACATGTTTCCCGGACTTCTCAGATAAACCCTCTGCAATCCCTTGGGTTCCTTTCTCCGTTCCTTCTTTAAGAACATTCTCAAAGTTTTCCTCTATTGGTATTGGCTTGGCCTCCACATCTGCTTTTGTTATTTCTTGGTCTTCAATTTCAATGTCTAAGGATTCCTCAATTGGAAGGTGGGACTTTCTTGGCTCATCATTTTCACTCAGCTCCTGAGAAGATGAACTTCTGGCACTTTCCTCTGTGCTGCTGTCAGCATGGGCTTCCCTGTCCCCCACCGCAGATTCATCCTCACTGTCACTAGAATAAGAGTGACTTCTGGATGAGGTTGATGAAGCAGTTTTCATATCTACAAAAAAATACAAGTGATGACATTGTTGTTCTTCCATAAAGCAACTGGTTTAATTGTGAAAATTATGTTAGCAATTAATCATACTAAAAATTTTAAAATATAGTTTAGTACAGACTTGATATCCTTTTCCCATATAGTCTACTTAGTGGTCCGCAACCTTTTTTATACTGGGGATTGGTTTCGTGGAAGACAATTTTTCCACGGACTGGGGTTGAGCGGGGATGGTTTTGGGATGATTCAAGTGCATTGCATTTATTGTGCACTTTATTTCTATTATTATTACATTGTAATATATAACGAAGTAATTATACAACTGACAATAATGTAGAACTAGTGGGAGCCCTGAGCTTGTTTTCCTGCATCTAGACAGTCTGATTTGGAGATAATGCGAGACAGTGGCAGACCATCAGGCATTAGATTCTCATAAGGAGCTCACAACCTAGAACCCTGGTATGCACAGTTCGCAATAGGGTTTCTGCTCCTATGAGGATCGAATGCTTCCACTGATCTAACAGGAGATGGACCTCGGGCAGTAACGCCAGCAATGGGGAATGGGCAGTGGCTGTAAATACAGATGAAGCTTCGCTGGCTTCCCCACCACTCACCTCCTGCTGTGCAGTCTGGTTCCTAATAGGCCATGGACCTTGTACCAGTCCATGGCCCAGGGATTAGATCCCTGGTCTAAATCATTGTTAGGATACAGAAAACTTACCGAATCGATGGAATATATGAGTATACAGAAATTTTCAAAAGATCACATTTAACTATCAACCATTCCTGTTTTTTGTTGTTGTTGTTTTTAGAAAGCCATTTTATTGGCAAACCTTTGTAAATATCCACTTTGTTATAGAAAAAATAATAATCCTTTGTGTCTTCAAGAAAAGCTTTATTTATTTATTTCCTTCTATCACCACAGTGTTCCGTGTGTATGAAACTTAAATTTTTATCTACCATACCATCCATCATCCTAGTATATCTTGGTATCTGGACACAGTAAGATCTGTGTATTTGCCCAGTAAGTAGACAAATATATGTAGGTTACACTTGCATGTGAGTGTGTGCATAGATGGAGATTTTATCTTATTTTGAGCTCTGCAGAAGCAGAAGCTGAGATGAAGATTCATGTGCGAGAAATGTATTAAAGATGTGCTCCAGGAGAACTCTTAAGGGAGTGGGGGAAGCAAAGGAAAGAAGGGCAGAAATTAATCAAGGGAGCTATTTCAAGCCCCATCTCAACCTCAACCTGATCCCATGGGCACTTCTGAAGTGTAAGCTATATTAGGATGTAATTTATATTAGGCAGGAGCTGGGCTTTCACACTTTGGAAAAGTCAGACATTGGCTATGGGCCTCCCTAGGGGGATGTAAACTCTCTGGCATTTCCAGGCTCTTTGAGGGTGAAGCACCTCCAGTAGTCAGGGCAGTCCTCTGAAAAAGGTGAAGGGAGCAGAAGATGGGCAATGGGCGAATAAAGTTGGTAAGAGATTCTGGGACATCTAGGCAGTTCGACGACAGGGTGCTGCAGATATGCAGTCTAGAAACTTACGGTAGCCACAACTGGTTTATGTAATACCTAAAAAGGTTTTAACAATTTCCAATAAAGTACCATACACACTGAATCTCAATAAGGAAGCTGAACAGCATAAAAAACCACTGCATACATTGCTATAGGCCACAGAAATACAATCTTGCTTTTCTAACCAATAGGTCTATATTTGTAATTGTTTTTTTCATAAATATACTTTCAAATAAAATATCCTACATTTAAATGCTGCCTATTTTTTTGTCTTCTCTGTACTCCTCACTGTTTTTTCTGTTTCTTTATTTCTTTCAGTTCCATGTGGCAGCTGCACCAATAGCTGTAGCAGCTAGTGCAAAGTTTAAGAGAAGAAATAACTGTCTTTGCCCTTATCCTCTTCTCTCCAAGCCTCCAGTCCTGCCGGCTCTCCATGACAGGTCTTAGCATTTTAAATATAGTCTCAGAGACATATCAGAGTTTCCACAAAGATTTGAGAGATGCTACACAGCAGTAAAAAACAAACTCAAAAAGCCTTTAAGCAACAGAGCCCCTAAGTCTAATTCCATTTGCTTTTATCTCCTGATACCTTGACAAACACCAGATGACCACTATTTTTCAAATAAATCATACACTCTAGCTACTCATTCTTTATTCTCCATTTTATAAAATCTGGCTATGCCGTGTCCCCGGTAGAAAATGTAGCAGATGAAGGAGAGTTCTTCCCCATCTTATTTGTATCTGTTCAGAAACTTTAGGTTCTCTGAACTCCCCTTTCCCTTCGGAGTCTTATGTTTCTTCTTTCAAAAAGAACATCAATTCTGGTTTATTAGCAGTTTAACTGATGGCTTTCATTAATTACATAGTTAGCTAGGACTCAATGTTATACTCGTTTGGAACTCCAAAAATATATCTACTATCTGAATATGGAAATGATGACTCCTACTTTTGGCTCTGAGAGTTGGTCATATAATTTTTAAAATGAGTGCTCCTCTGACTTTCTTTAGTAGCTTCCATTAATTGTATTATTTCATTTCAAAGGGCTGAAATATACTCTGGTTCAAGTTTGAATCAGTCCTTCAGAGAAGAAAGATCAGGAGAATGAATGGCCTCCAAGTGGCCAGGGCACCTGACCTCCCATACAAACTCATTTCAGTTTTCAAATTTCTCCCTAACCTCATGCTATAATTTAGTTTCACTCTCATTTCTTTCTGTCATTTACATACACAGACACTGGGGTAAGACTTTGCCTATAAAAAAGTTAAAAAAGCTTCAGGGTTATGGAATAGGATTTTCAAAACTGATTTTATTTATTCTCTTAGAAATAAAGCAAATGCTTATATTAAAAAAAAAAAAACTTTCACAACACATATGTAAATTCGCTTTGTCATTAGGAGGGAAAAATTATCTTGCAAGCATGTTGATAAACAGCTATGCCTCCTACCCAAGTCCATTTGTTCGTGTATTCCCTTCTGGTAGTGATGCTGTAAGAACCCGCTTTTGCTTGTTTTGGCAAAGAAAAGATCTGCACTCATTGCCTGAGGTCTTGGCCGAAGCCAGCAAGTTTGGTGCCATGTTCCATGTCCTAAGCAAGATCTTTGACTTTTCTCTTTCCACAGTCAGGAGCTCTCCAGACACTTCTTCCCTTTTCATGTCATTGATAATTGTTTCTTTCTTTCTTTTTTGGCATCACTATAATTAAAATCTTGTTTGACACAGCACGAGGTTGAGAGAAAATGACATATTCTTCTGTACGACAAATCCTGGTGTCCCAGTCACAGCTCAGTTACTTAATAGGTTATGCTATTTAACTTATCTAAGCCTCTGTTTTCTTTTTTCTTTCTTTCTTTTTTTTTTTTTTTTTTTTTTTGGGACCGTGTCTCGCTCTGTCGCCCAGGTTGGAATGCAGTGGCCGAATCTCAGCTCACTGCAAGCTCCGCCTCCCGGGTTCACGCCATTCTCCTGCCTCAGCCTCCTGAGTAGCTGGGACTACAGGCGCCCGCCACCTCGCCCGGCTAGTTTTTTGTATTTTTTTAGTAGAGACGGGGTTTCACCATGTTGGTCAGGATGGTCTCGATCTCCTGACCTCGTGATGCCTCTGTTTTCTTAACTGTAAAATGGGGATAATTCTACTTGTTCTCCTTACAAAATTGTAGAAATTACACGAGAAAAATATTTAATCTAATCAAATGAAATAATTATCTTTATAGTCTTTTTTCCTCTGTGATGTCATACATGTAGTATATTCTAATAAATTTATCTCTTGTAGTTTCGTTTTTGTGATATTGAGTGATATCACAGCTACCATGATAAAGATAAAACTAATCATGATTATGCACCTACTGTAAACCAAACCATGAAATAGCACTTTACAAACATCTCACTTAATCCTATGGAATAATAATTATCTTCTACTTTGAGATCCAGAAAGAGAGGTCCAAAGAGGTTCAATAGTACCCAATGTCCATTAGCTAGTAAGTAGAAAGTTTTTGTAAATGCTTATTTTGTAACGATACACTGCAATAAAACCAAGACCCTTCTATTTGCTAAAAGGCTTTGGGACAGGAAGTACTCACAGCCACGGACCCGCCATTGCTCCTCTTAGCTAACTTTCCTCTGTTACCACTCAAGACTGACAGACAGGAAATTGTTCTCTTTCAAAAATCAGAACTCATGAAATGTGTAGTCTGTCCTCGCATTTTATCTGTATTGGTCATTATTAATTTTGTCCACCACTCTAGAGCACAAACTCCATTTAAAATAATCCGAGGCACAGAATATGAATACAAAGCAAAAACAAAAGCAAAAGGTAGCAATCAAAGTCTTCCCTAGTTTATTTATAACATCGATCATGATGCTATTTTATGAAACTATACATGTTATTCAGTTGTTTACAAATAACTATGGAACACTGTGGGGACACTCACAAAAATGGGGGGTGTGTGTGTGTGCGCACGCGTGTGTATGCTTTGTATGCCAGCAATCCTCACTGTTTATACTGTCTGATTGCTAGCTTGATACACCTGACCAAGGGCACCAGCCACACACACATCCGAAGTCAACACCAGCCCAGCAAATCCAGGATAAAGTCTGCTCTCCCTCCTTATAACTGAGGTTCTGAGTTGTCCTTCACTTTCCTTCCAACTTACATAGATTCATTTGTCCACTAAATATATATTGAGAACTTCCTATGTGCCAGACAATGTTCTACAAGAAAACAGAAGCCTTGGTCCTTGCTTCTACCTATAATATACACTCAAAACAGAGACTGACTAATTATCCACCTCCTTTCGCATGAGGGCAATAGATCCACTGCACATGTTCATAAAGATATTGGTTCACTCTAACAGTGACTGCAGATAACTCTCTCAGAAACTATTGCCACACTCTTATTGCAATCAGTAGCCAAATTGTTTTAAACCAATGACAAGACCTGACCTCAGTTTTCAATCACTTTCTCACCTGCTAGCAAGCAGCATACT